AACCGTCTTATCAATACTCTTGATCGCGAATAGACATTTCTCCTTCTCTTTTTGAAGAACCACCTATTTGTGTTTCAAAAGGAAATACTCTCTTCAATCTTCACTCTGATAATGAAACATTTAAAACAAGAAACCATAAGCACAAAGCTCAATGAGTTCCCTAAAATAGCGCATACCATACATAACCATAACATGCAACACGGTCTATTTCAACCATTGAGCATATTTCATCCCAAGTGAAGGCTATGGGACAAATCCTATACTTACAACCACTCTTGCAATAGCCTATATCATCCAACGGACCTATTTCATCCCAAGTGAATGTTATTGGAATAATTCGTAGTCTTACAACACTCATGTAATTGTCATAGACTTTCCCATGGACTTTCATGCAACATACATCAGGAGTTACAAAGACAACAAGCACATACAACACCTAGTGTCCTACATAGTATAGTGAGAAAACTCACCTCACTCTCGAAATCAAATAAACCACAGCTCACAAAGTCAAGAACCTAGTGCTACAATTCCACTTAACGAAACACCTACCACCAGACCTATTCTACACTCTAAACTAGCAATTTGACCAAAAGTCAACTAGTTCAAGAAGTCAACGGTCAATGGTCTCTACATCGTGGCCAAACCATGGCTACGTCGTGGCTATCCAACTCAGTCATGATCAAAATCCAATACCACTTCGTAGCAAGCATGCCACCACGTCGTAGAAGCTTCCAGATAAGACAGTCGTGAAGTTTCCCTTCACTACGTCGGGGTAACTCTCTTGCCACGTCGTGGCTACTACATTTGGACAACTTGATAGATTGAATCCTTAATCCATTAAGCCATTTGCTCAAACTTTCCAGTAAGCTTCTTGGGACGCTAATCGTCCATAAAAATCCAAACTTCATAGACATGCATGACCCATATATGTCCTTCACCCAACTAGGTTAAAAAGATGAGAAAATGTACAAAATCACATGCAAAGCTCTCAAAACTCAACCAACTTCTAGATCCAGAAAATAAGATGCTCAAGGGACCATGGTGAGTCATAAAGTTGCAACCTTTATCTCATTCAACCATTCAAATCTCAACTATGAACCCAAACATGCTAAATAACCTAGATCTATGAAGAAGGAACCAAAAAGTTGGAAGCTTCTGGAATTACAAAGAGTATAGAAGATGCACACAAGGAGTAAAAATAAGTTGCCTGTTGAATCCAAGTACAAAGAGCTCATTCTTCTTCCTCCCAAGATCACGAAATCAATAAAGATGAGCCAAAAGCATGCAAAAAGGGGTTAGGGTTTATCAATGGCTCTTTGGAGTTGATGAAGGCGGATGGGGGAGGAAACCATAGACATCACATCCTTTAAATAGTGCTCAAGGCCCGAAAATCTAGGGTTTGCCATAATACCCGTCAACACGTCGTGGCCAATGCCTTGCCACATCGTTGTGTCCCGCGAATGCCCGTTCTTTGAACCAAGGATGCCATGTCGTGGTCATTCCATTACCACGTCATGGGAAAGCCAAAACCCCCAAAACTTAGATTTAAATAATTAAACTTGGAAAAAGCATTCCTGGAAAATAGATGTTACAAATTTCTATCCAAGCAAATTTACATAATTATGTCTTACTTAAAGATCCTAAAGATCTTCTAATTCAAACGACACCCTCTTAGTAGACTGATCATCCTTCATGCTAAGCATCAAGTCGGTATACCCTGTCAATACACCAATGACATCTACAAAACGAAACACCAAGTAATTCAGAAATGTTAAGATACACAACACAAGTATAAGACCAATTTTGTTTCCGATATGAAAGCCATCTTATCAATTGCACACTCCTCCCCAGCATGACGTGAAATAATGTCTCCAAACTTGGCAAAACAAAAAAGAGTGGACACCATGAGAGAAGCTTGATATCTTGGCCTTAACATACGCATTCTTGTGAAAGGTTAATTTAAATCTATGATCTATCATTTTTAAATGGGCAAGATTATTAGCAATAAAGACTTTAAAAAAAATACACACTTCCCTACTTCAACAATCCTTCAACTTGCAAACTAAAGCCTTCTTGATGCTTGTCGAGATACAGTTCCCCTAACATTATCACAAAAAACAAAAGAAACTTAAAAAACTATACCAAAGCAAACAAAACATATACAACTTGTCCATGAGAGTCAATAACTTCTCGTCCAATAATATGATATTATTATTGTTCAATTCAGACGACTTCAAGTAAACATGTTGTTTCCACAAACAAACAACACATCCCTTGAACTTCAAACTGTCGACAACAACATTCAAGTCACTAATACATCAATTTTAACAGCTATATCTAACAGCAATTAAACCTACAATTGATATACCGCATGTGTAATTTATGCAGACAACAAACATCATCATTAGGTCTTGAGCAGCTGAACAACCCAACCGTTTACAATATCGTTTCAAAGCACAATAAATTGAAAGACATATGAAAAGCTCAAAACAACACCCGTAAGAACCAGTAACCGCATCCTAACGGAGAGTCTCTTCAAATCGATTGAAAAGTCGACAAACCCTTACTAGAAGCTGTTTTTTGCAAATAGTGTTGCATTAGACATGTCACGTGGCCTAGAAATTTCGAGCTTTCGACAACTCAGCAAAATTACGCTTCAGTTATAGTTATATAAGAATATGGATATAAAACATTTAAGTCTTTCTAACTATTTGATCAAAATACCAACTCATTCGTTAAATTTTCTTGCTCTAACAGCAATCATAGTAGTCACTAAGATATTTGTTGTCATTTTATGATATACATGAAAATTGAATATTTTGTTGAAAAACCCACCACAATATAATCATCTTTATGATTTTGCTATTTTAAAATCCTTAAAAGGGTATTAAGGGAAACACGGTTAGTAATTTATCTTTTAACGTGAATTGGACCCTACCTTCGTGACAAACTTGACCCTTTCAAACTCTTTCTTTCTTGTTCTTCTCTTTTCAAAATAAAAACATCAAAATACCTCACCACAAAACATAACAAAAAACAATGGCATCAACACCCCACCATTACTACCTGCCTATGCATACACTCATTCTATCTTTATATTTTTTTCTTTTTCTTCCAATTCTACCCCTTACCACCTGCAATTCAATCCATGATCTCCTGCGGAGTAGAGGGTTACCAGCAGGGCTCTTCCCACAAAATGTGAAGTCATATGATCTTGACCAAAATGACTATCTGCAAGTTTATTTGGAAGAGCCGTGTGAGGCCAAGTTTGAGAACAGGGTGTTCTTTGAGAGTGTTGTCAGGGCTAACCTGAGCTATGGCGGACTCATTGGTTTGGAAGGTTTGTCTCAAGAAGAGCTTTTTCTTTGGTTGCCTGTGAAGGGTATTAAGGTCATTGATCCGTTATCTGGTTTGATCTTGTTTGATATTGGGCTTGCTTTTAAACAGCTCTCTCTTTCTCTTTTTGAAGAACCACCTATTTGTGTTCCAAAAGGTACTACTCTCTTCAATCTTCACTCTCATAGTTTTTTTTGTTTTTTTGTTTTTTTGTGGAGTGTGGAATTCTCTGTCACGACTTTTCTGGATATCAATAGGATCAATCGACATCGAGGATTTACTTTTCCCATATCTTAAATTATGATTCTCATATTGAAATTCAATTTTGTTGATATAAATCTTCAATAAGGTTTCCAATTTATTTTGGCCTCATGACAACCTTTTCATCTTTAACTTTCACTTACGAGGGAGCATTAATATTCATTAAAGCGACATGCATGGTCACATACCCTGAAAAATCTCATATTTCAAACGTAAATATAAAATCAAAAACCATAAAGCGGACATGGCAAATGAGTTGAAACCATTGAAGGAGTATGAATCATAAAAATGTTTTTCAACTATCTTTTAATAATTATGGCCGGTCATTATCCTGACAGTCATAGCCTATTTAACTATTTATAAAGTATCTTTTTAAATAACTTGTCGAAAAGAATCACCATCATATTTCGGATTTTGGTTGTTTGTCAAAAAAATGATTGTTAGGAAACCAAACATGGTGTGAATGTTTTAACTTTTCTTGAAAGTGGTATTTAAATAAATTATTTATTATCATTGAAATGCAGTTGGGCAGTTGGAGAGTTATGGAAGGAAGGAGTTGGGATATCAAAATCTTCAAAGATGAAAAGAAATGGAAACGAGAACAAAGGATGGGTCTCTAATTCCAAATGTTTTGTTTTGGTTCTTTTTGTCGCTTTTTGCTTTTTGATTTTTCATTTTCATTTGGTTTTTGTGGTTTTGAGATTTTCCACCAATACTTTATTCTTGTTTGAGAATGAGGAAATGGAAAGGGGTTAAGGATGATATGTCTGGAATCGAATAATCATTAAAACATATGTTCTTCAATTATTAATTTCATTTAGTTTTTGTTTTTAGTTTTGGAAAGTAGCCCAAGGAAAATTATATGTTCTTGAATTATAAAGAAACAATCACATACACCAAAATTAGAATTGTTAATGCATTTAGTGGATCCATCTATATTATTGTAACTAGACTAGATGAAGGTCACCTGCATCATTAGCGCGGGTTTAAATGGTCAGAAGTTTAAAAGAATTTTTTTAATTTATTATTATTATTATTATTTTTAATATATTGAATGAAAAGTTGGTACATTGATGAATCGAATAAATCTACAAAAATAATATTCAATAAATTTTCATTTCTAGAAATGCCTTCTAAATGTTACCCCAATACTCCACTTCCAATGTTTAGCCCAATAAACTTGAATAAATCTAACATTTTTAGCTTCTAAATTGTCAACTCTTTCTTCTTATGGTGTCTCCTTTCAGTCATAAGCTATGACCAATAACCAATAAGTTCTTTTTCACAACACATTAGAAACCAAAATCAGCTTAATGTATATGTGTTCTTCCAAAAGATGATGCTCTAATTACACTCTCATTGTTCTATATAACGAAGTCCATTCATAAATTCAATTACAAATTGTGTCGTTATAAATAGAACTAATAATATGTTTACATGTGTGGTTTCTCATATACTTTTGTAAGAGCTCAACCAATTCATGTAATTTTAAACTTGAATTTAACTCTTTGGGTAAATAGCAAAAAGGACATTCAGTTTACACCAAAATTCTAATTTGATACTGTATTTTTTGTCTCAAATTTGACACTGTGTTTCCAGTTTGTTACAATTCTGACCACTTGACCGGTCAACCAGGTTACAAGCTGACGTGGTTTGCCTCCGATTTAGGAGAAGGAATTGCATTCCAAAATCTAAGTGTTTCATCTCCAGCTGGAGTCACAATCGTCTTCATAACCAGTTAAAGATAAAGTTTAACAGCGTCACACAATCTGTCCATTTTCAAACGAAAAAGCATAATTATTTTCAAAAACACCATGAAAATTAACGATTAATCATCATTATATCATAAGATTACTTGTCCATCAAGTGAGATTGCAAGGTAAAGAACTTTGTATGTATGCCCGTAAGAGTAGCCAACTGCAATTCCATTTAAGATTCACATTTATAAGCAATCTTATACACTCTTTTTGACAAAAGATAAAAGTCAAACTTCCAATTTTAGAGAAAAAGTCAAACCCAAATGAAAAGATCACACCTTTGATATATTGGGGTCAGAAGTGAAAAGTTGAAAGGTTTTTTCCAACCATTTCATTGTACATTAGTACCCTTCTTTCCTCCATTTTTAAAGTAGTCTCAGCACCGTTGACTAAATTTCATGAAATAAACTCGATAAATTATCTACTAAAGAATATTCTTTAACATAATGGAAATAATTAAGCTAAAGAAATATGTATTTACCAGCAGATGGTTTATTTAGTTCCGAACCTAATATGTTGATGTTTCTTTCTAGTTTGGTGTTCTGATCCGTCACAACTGAAAGCTACTATCACTGCATCATGTAAATCAAGCAACTATTAGATTGTTCTTCCAAAGAGTGGAAATCTTGTTCAAATAACTATCTACTTTATAGACATTGATTGATTAGGGAGGAAGGAGTCATTACCTTCCAACCCACTGAACTCACTGTCACGTCACTTTTTCTTTTTTATTTATCTTCATTTTTTCCAACCCACAACACACGGAAACCCAATCTTTATGAAACCACTCAACCCATTCAATTAAAAAAAAATACAAAACAATCAATGTAAAATCTTAAATAGCAATAGAGTTACCGCCGGTACCACTCCCGCTTCAACGAGTTGTTTAATTGGTTTCACTAACCCACTTCATCATCTCTATCTACTTTCTCTCTCTCTCTCTCTCTCTCTCTCAATTTCTCTTCTACCATGTTTTTTAAAACTTATACCTTAGTTGTTTTGTATTTTTTTTTAATTGAATGGGTTGAATGGGTTCATAAAGATAGGATTTATGTGTGTTGTTGGTTGGGAAATATAAAGAAAAATAAAAGAGAAAATGTGATGTGTCAGTGGGTTGGGAGGGAATAACTCCCTCCTCCCTTAAAGACAATATAGAACACAACTTTTGTGATACCTGGTGTGTTTTAAATACATTGATCAAGACCCACGATCAGAAAAAGAATAAATTTTTGTTCTCACCTAAATCTGTGTGGAGAAGGAGAGAATACAGAGGACCCAGAAAAATGTTACAAACAAAAAGGGTTATTATCATAAAAGCCCTTAATTTTACACAAAAATATCGGTTATTTCCGAAGTCGGATTTTTTGTTCATTAATGCCTCAAATACCGGTAACTTAGTTCAATTTTCAGCATGAACTTTCATAAAAAAGTAGGGCTAAAAGGATTCAAACCAGGGTCTCCAATTTCTCCATCTACGACTTCAACAACTGAGCTGGACTGAATTTTATAGTTTTAAAACTCACAAAATATATATAATAACTATGGATTGAAATAAGAAAAAGAAGTAGGGTGCAACAACAATCGAACCTGGGTATCCCAATTAAAAAACTAATGGCTTAACCATTAACCTAGGTATGTTTTCTAGAAATATTTCCTTAGGAATTAAATATAATATCTACAATTATGTTATTATTTAATATACATATATGTTTAAATATGTTTTTAAATGTGTTTTTAAGGGTAAAAAGTATGTTTTAATATACATATATGTTATTATTTAATATACATATATGTTTAAATATATTTTTAAAGGTAAAAAGTGTGTTTTAAAGGTATAAATATACTTTAAGGGTATTTATATATTTAAAAAGCGTATTTATGTATTTAAAAAAGTATGTAAACATTTAAAAACGTATTTGTATAAATACGTTTTTATACGTATTTATATATTTACATACATACAAATGTGTTTTTAAGTGTATTTATGTATAAATATGTATATATAATTGCACTTTTATACGTATTTATATATAAATGCATTTTTATTATTATTATTATATATATATATATATATATATATATATATAATAATAATCATAATAATAATAATAATAATAACAACACATTATATAAAAATACGTATAAACGTGTTTATATATACATATTTATACATGTAAATACATATAAAAATATATTTACTTAAATACGATTTTAAATTTATAAATACATATATAAATAATAATAATAATAACTAGAAAGGTTTCCCATGCTCCGCATGGGTTAGGGATTTTGATTTGTGTCGGTTAAATTTGTTTAGATTTGTTATTATCAATCTTAAAAAAATCATCAAAACAAAACATGCGTATGAACACTTTAAATCCAAAAACATAAGAAGCAAACATTTTTCAAAATAGGGAAAGCAACATCAGAATATATGACCATTTTGTCCTTTTTCGTTAATGTAATTAAATAAAATGATGATATAAACTTCTTTAGACTTCCAATTAAATCCATTAACTTCAAAATTAAAGGTACATCACATTTTCTCCATGCTTCCTCCTTTACCTGCCAACATCGTATCCAACCTTCTTAAATGTCTTCAATTTTCCTTTATTCCCTAAATGAATAAGTAAGAGTTTTGTACGTTTGCATATAATCACGTATCTTAATTGTCATTTATAAAAAACATTAATTTTACCTGCAATGGTGAGACATAGCTGCATCATTCTTGTAAGTAATAGTTTTACATCTGTCCATTAGCTTTTAGGGTGTTTGATGCAAATATGAAAAAAAGGTCGATGTTTTATACGGAATAAGATGCTACTATAAATAACGGCTACCAAAACAAAATATGAAGAACCAGTTATAATAAAGTATATATAGTATCAGGTCAACTGGAAAGTAGATTTACCTGATTGTGTGAGTTACAAACAATATCCAAAGTTTTTGAGATTGCTTTATTTTTGTAAGTAGTGGTCCATATGTGATACAACAAATTACCAAAAAAGTTAAAAAAGGAAAACTTTTGTAATTTGCTTTACAATTAGATAAAAAAAAAACAAGAAAAGAGTACCTGATTAACAACATATCCTTTTTGTTAATCTTCCAAAGCTAGTCCGTTTCAAATTCGGATGACTCCAGCTAAAACAATATGGATTTGATACCTTAGGAGTCTACTTTGTGGGCCACACATAAGGTTTATCTGATTTAACCTGAACAATTAGACATTATTATAAGATATAAATTATATTAATAATTGACACTTAGAATGTCATAAACTATAGGAATATTATCTTAAAGTTAAACATACACATTCAAAAAGATCTTTTGGGTAGTCATAAATTGCATATGAGGGATACACATTGGTAATTTCCATCAAAGATCCATCTGGCAACCTAAAGCAACAAAAAAAAAAAACTCACAAAAAATTTCATTTCCACAAACTGTCACCACTAGCTCCGTGAAGAATTAGCAACGGTAATTCAGTTTTTGTATTTTTTTTTTGCAAATGAAAGGGTAGTTCCGTCTTTTCACAAATTTAATTAGGTGCAAGAAGTTGGTTACAAAACCTATCAGTTGAATGGAAAGTAAATTATAAAGGGGATCTTCAGTTGAAATCAGTTTTAACCATCAAAAGTGTAGAAAACATTTGTAGTCGTGTCATATATGTTGATCATACGAGCTGAAGTGCAACTTTTTGCATCAGAATGTCCTCTAAATAAAATTAATTTATCCCCCAAATCAACTAAAAAAATGTAGAATGATTAAAAAAAGAATAAGGGAGTCAAGTAAAAGGATCTATTTGGTCATACCTAGTGACAAAGCATAACATCCTGGGTTGCAGTTCTATATTAGTTGAATTTCCCAAATGCTGCTCACCACTTGAAGTTCCACCTATCTGAGAAGTATTTAATTTTTATAAAAAGATGAAAACCTTCTTTCAGGCATTTTACCAAACAGTTGGGGTGTCTAATACGCAAGTAGCGAAGAAACATCAAATCACAACAACCACATATTACCTCCAAGATTGCAAAAGACACGAAATAATCATTGTAACAATCTCAAATTTATCTCTTAATATTTCATTCAAGGAAACCACTCAATGCTTTAGGATACATATATGAACATACATATCAAAAAACAGATTGAAATAGGTTACCCAGATGAAGACTTTGGTAGAATACCGAACCCTAGATTGCAACAGACACGAACATACACATAAAAAAAGAAGACAAATTGATTTCACGTCGTTTTAGAGAATAAGTGTGTTCGATTTGTGGCTTCCAAAGTTGTAGCAAATTGTAACCTGAAAATTGCATACAAGGTCAAAGGGTGGGATAATGAAAATTGATGGCGGGATGAAAAACTCACGGATGAAAATCTAGCTTACTTCACTTACCTCGAATCCGAAATCAAAGCGTAGTTACCTAGGAACCACAATCGATATTGAAAGAGGCGGTTTAATACTGAAACGATAGTCGATTATGTCAATGATGTTGGAGGGAGTATGGATCGTGAGATTTTAGCAGCTTGATACACTTGGATGTACATACATTAAGAGGAGAAATTGTTCATAACATGCAGAAGTGAAGAAATCTTGTGGAGATAGAGAAAAGAGGAAAGAGGAACAGTTCTCTTTGAATGCAAGGGTGGACATCAGAAACAGATGATGGCGGTAGGTGGACACCCATCGGAAGATGAAGGGGTTTTTGGCTTAGTTTTTTTAGTTTTTTACTGCTAAAAGTTCTTTTTCCAAAAAAAAAAAAAAAATGTTTGGCAAATCTAATTTTAAAAGTTACTTTTGGAGTTTTGATACAAGGAAAATGAACTTTTTGGAAAAGTCAGAAAAACCTGATTTTTTATAACTTTTCCAAAAAAAACTTTTGAGCTGTGAAAAGCTAAACCAAACACCCCCGAAGCAGGACACGTTCCATAAAGGTTAATGCAGGTACCGTGGTGCAAGACATACATGACACCAATCGATTTTAGGATGACACCAATCGATTTTAGGGTAAATAAAAATGGTGTTCGTCTACGAAGCCATGAAAAATAAGTGTCAATCATATATTACCGTTCATAACTTGGCCAGATCCTATATATATAATTAAATATGTTCTAGGAGGTTGAACCCACAGATCAAAAAAAATATATTAATGTTGGTCCAATGTTATTGTTCCTAAAGGAACATGGTTTTTATCTTATATAATAATAATAATATTAATAAATAACAAATAATAAAATTTATAATAATAATAATATTAAATAGCAGGTTTTAGATATTAAATATAATCTTTTAAGAAACTTTTTATAGAAATGTAGCTAGTCTAGTGGTAAGGTTCTTTGCTTTGAGGGGGAGAGACCACACTTCGAGCCTTTCTACGTAACTTATTTTTTTAACTCAGAATGTCCCTATTGTTTGCTTTTGTTATGCGCTTTGTCCGTATTTTTTGCTTTTGTTACGCGTTTGGTCACTGTCTTACCTAAAAAGACTATTATTTAAATAGAAAAAAAGTTGGTATAGGTAAGGTAAGGTGAGGGGTGGAGTTGGGGATATGTTTATTTAAATAAATTAAAAAATCAAGAGCAAAATAGTTTTTTTAGGTAAGACAAGAACCAAGCGTATAACAAAACAAATAGTAGGGATCTTCCGAGTTAAAAAATAAGTTAGGGACCAAACGTGAAAATTACTCTAAACCATAGGGACCATTCGTGTAATTTAATCTATTTCAAAATTTTTACTCAATGTAGGCGGATGACGTGGAACCAGCTCGTCAGCTCCAAATCTGCATAAACAGACCTCGTCAGCACCCAGTCAGCATCCTCAGCTGCCTCGTTCCCGGTTGTAGCCGGGCAATGGGCAAAACTAAACCAATTTTCTGGTACCTTATGGCATTAATGAACAAAAAATCCGACGTCGGGCATAACCAAAATTTTTGTGTAAAATTGAGGGCTTTTATGCCAATAGGCTCCCGTAAACGAATCCAGAGCTTTTCTCCCGACGAACCGTGTTCCGACCGAATAGAGGGCTGAGACTTTTTACGAAGAGAGGAGGATGAGAAGTAGTGAGCAGTACGTCCATGTCCATGGCAGTTTGTGGACCTTCTGGTTAGCCGCTTGACGGTGACGTTTCCGAGCAACTATGGTTCTTCAATTCCAACATAAAGTGAATTAGCAACTAACAGTCGATGACGATATTCTACGCTAATCGTTGCGAAATTGACCTATTTACCCTAAAATTAAAAGGCTTCGACACAAAAATCCCAATTTGCTTGTGCCCCTGACCCTAACCGTCGAAGGTACAACCACTAGTGAACCTGGTAAGAAAACTAGCTTTGAATTTCAGAAACAAATTATAGATACTAAGCCGAATACGGAGATAGTAGAAGGAGAAAGAGTCAATCGAAAGAGCCAGGTAAATCCTTTGTAAATTTGTTGCAGATCCATATCAAAAGTTGAGCGGAATCGAGGTAGTGAATTAAAATGAAAAATCGATGGAAAGAAATCGATGTTGAAGCTTTTTAGGAAGTGAATCGAATTTGGGTGGAAGTAACCTGTTGGTTAAGTTCGACGGTGGTAAAGCCTAATCATCCTAAAACAACATTAAAAAGCCACGTATCAACTAAATTGGTTATCCAGCATTGACCATCCATTGACCATTAAATAGTCAAAGGCAAATTTAAAAAAAAAAAAACGAAATTTAACAAATTATAATAAATATTTGTGCATTTTAGCACACAATAAATGTGAGAAACACTTGAACCTAGCTCATATATATATATATATATATATATATATATATATATATATATATATATATATATACTATATTATTAAACATATTGTCTCTTTTTTGAAAATTAAGAGGTACAATAGGTATTAACTCATGTACAATAATATTAAGCTTATGACGATCGAAGTCTGCAACCTACCTGCGTGCGACTACTTTGCAAGGTAAACATTAGAGTCGCACTTTTCCATATCTCAGTTCACCCGACACTCACCACTCATGATTCAAGAATCAATATTTATGTTTCTCTAAATTTTTTGTTACTCTACAGGTCTCTCTGCTAAGCAATTTTTTCCAATTCTCTTTATACCGGACCGAACTTTTTCTCAAGTAATTCAGTAAATGCGTATTTGTAACACCTATTTCTATAATTTCAAACATATTTCTCAAAAATCAACTTTTCTCACTTACACCATTTCATCGCTTTCCTATATACGTATTCTTCTTTTTTGACTTTTCCGGTGTTCATAACCTGCTCCGCCTCTCGCATACTTACTCTTTCCCTAATCAAGGGAATGGGGCGATGGTAGGAGCTCTCATATCACTGACTAAATCCCGATCAATGATGAATGGGGAACAATGACCAAGGTTATTTAAGGTTCAATATTCCAGTTTCATTACTATCACTACTTTTCTTTTTTGGTTATGAAATCCATCCAACATAGGCAGGTAAGTATAAACGTAAGGATGCATGTTGTTACAAATCCATATGAGTTCAATCTTTCACAATTATGGGCTATCTCCGATTCATTTAGCAAAGATCTGAACAGTAGAAGCTTGTTGGCAGGTAAACTTTTATTTAGCCTAATTACTTTTATCAAACATTAGTTTGGTTTCATATATATACTTGCTATGTTCAGGATTTGTTTAGACAAACAATAGGATCGCCATAGCTGCATCAATCTCACAAAGAGGTATAATTTTTTTCTTATTCTTTTTTTTTTGCTTTACGCCTGCAATGCAATCTCATCTTGTGTTGATTTGATATCATAATCACAATAGTTCATGAGGTTAATGAAATAGTTCGTAAATATTGTTGCATTTTCAAACCGTTAAACTCAGGGAGAAATGCCAAAAATGCCCCTATAGACTTAATTTTCTATAATAACTTCCTTGGGTTTCTTTTGTCTGGCCATTATATGTATGTTATATATCTTGAATATTACTATAAACTTTCCATTTGGATTCATGGCATAATTTCGTTTTTGCATCCTAGATTATAGTTATTAGTTACTGATCACGCATGATTTCGGATGGTTGTACGTACAATTAATTCGGATCAACAAAGAGTGCCATAATATGGTTGGACTACTCAAAAGGTCTTTCATTTCCTCAATTTCTTGGTTAATGGGGTCTGTATATTTTTGTTATCTTTTCAAAAATGCATTTAGAAACTCTGGCATGTTTTGATTCTATTAGTTTTAGAGTATCCATGTTTTACAGGACAGCATGTTTCATTCTTGAAGAATATCAGACTGCCAAATCATAGATTGCATTACATCTTAACTTATTAAGCTTTAAGTGTACTGTACATCTACATGCTATTGTCTTTCTGATTTTTTACTTTTCTGATGTATGATATTCACTCTTAATGTTTTCTTACAGTGTGTTGGTGAAGATATAGAAGATTTGGAATATACACCAAAAGCTGAATTTGAAGGATACTTTAAAGTGACAAATGTGATACATCGTAGGTCCCACCATCTTCTATTGAAGGCCTTGAAGAGTATTTCCATTTCTGGATCACATATGTTTTTTTATCTTAATATAAATCTTGACAACTTTTGGAAACATCCATCAGATGTCTTGTACTAAGTCTCTCAATCTTTTTATCTTTTTAAAATCTACATCCAACAATGTTGCAGGTAAGACAAGGTTGAGAGGTGAAAAAAGGGGTATTTGCTACAAGATCACCACAACGTCCATTCCCAAATTGGTCATATAGTCGCAAAAGTAAGTTAAATAATGTAGTTTGTCTTTAATAATCATTACAAGATACTAAATGCACTGATTTTGGTTCACAAGATTCTTTTTTTCTTTAGTTTTATATTTTTGATGTAAAAATATCACCACATTGTGTGAATTCCATTATGCATATACACAAACACTTAAGAGTAAACTAGGAATAAAACCGCTTTTTAAAGGTTTTTATTAAGGGGCTACATAGATTTATGACAATCCCTACTTTTTTTTTTGAAGTGACACAATTTTGATGGGATAGTTGGGTTGAGGCTCAAGTTGAAAGAACCGGTGATTTCTTGTTGTTAGAATGTTTTTTTAATAATTATTAATATGACAAAAAATAACATGAATATTGTTTGAGCATGCTGCCTTGACTAAGTTTTGTTGTCAATGGTGGTATGTGATGGAGGTAACAATTATAAATTATAATATGAAAAATCTCATAAGGCTTGGATTTAACTATTATAATATTGTAATATGGTTATTTGTCAATCATATTTACAAAAACTAAATGAAACTATATTTGCTATTTCATGCATTTAATTTATTTAGATAGCCTGCCATATAAATACATAAAAGAACAACTTTATAAAAAAACAATTTTTGCCAAATACGACATTCATATTCTCAAATATCTTCTAAAATGGGTCAATATTGGACAAGAAAATCGTGTTTTATTTTTATAACTAATATATATTAAAATTATAATAAAGATTTATCAATTAGTCCATTGTTTTTAGGCGTCATTTTTTTATCTTATTTTTACGTGTTTCTTGATAAATTTTGTATTAAACTTTTATTAAGTTTAATTTTTTATTAGTACCCCCTAATTATCTTGGTTTAAAAACTGGGTGCCCAGTAATACTTTTGCGAAATATTGATCCCTCAAATGAGTTATGTAATGACAC